GCAAATAGTTTTAGAATTAATAGAGTGTCTGTGTGTTCATTTGGGGTTTGAAAGTGGCGGCAGGACTTGGGAAGGACAGGAAACTCCAGCAACAGAAAGGAGGGTGGATTACTGATCTATGCCTTCTAGAAATAATGTTTTAGCTTGTGACTGTGCAGAATGAGTTCCCCAAGAGAAAACCAAAGAGCCGGGGAACAAAGAAAGAAGACTCTAGAAGAACATCTACCTTCGGGGTCAGAGAGAAGAGCAAAAGAACAGAAGAGTTTTGTCAGCTGGCCCCCAAATAAATGGACACACCTGCGCCAAATGTCAGAAGTTCAGGTCCCTAACAATAGCACAAATGAATGCAGTGATTTATCTTGCAGCCAGACTCTCCCTACAGGATCACAGAGTCTTATTAATGTCAGTCACAGCATTCAGCTATTAGAGCTGCTTATTATTTCTGTTGAGGGGATAGCCAGGATGGCTCTTGCCTCCTCTTAGGAGGACAGAGAGCCTTCTGTCAGAGACAGCAAGTAAGGGAGAGATGGGGGGGTCCAAACTTAAGATGAAATCAAGACTCTGAAGTTTCAAGCCAAAACACACTTTTGGCTGCTATTTATCCCTCTAGTCCTGGGATTTTTTCTTTTTCTGGACGAAATTGCAGTGGTATTTACAGTAGAAAGAACTTTCTTAAATGAATGATGGACTTCCATATAGTTTAAAATTGGAGTCTTCATACTTTCATGTGTGGCAGTCAGAAGACAACCTGGGATGTTCTCACCGTTCACCATGGTTGAGGTAGCATGTTTGGCTGCTGCATGGTTGGTCCAATCAGCCATCTGGAGAGTTCTCCCATCTCTGCCCCTGTCTTGTAAGAGCTCTGTGATTATGGACAACACTACTATATCTGGCTTTCTTTACATGCTTCTAGGAGTTCAAACCTAGGTTTTCACGTTTTTTGTTTTTTTGTTTTTTTTTTTTTACAGCAAAACCTTTACCTGAGCTGCCTCTGCAACCCTGGAGAGAACCACAGCACAGAAACATGTGAACACAAACTTAGGATCTCAAACCTATGCTTTTCAAACTGTTACTGGGGTCAAGAGGTAGTAATAACCTGCTCAGGTGGACAACACCAATCTGCAGTCCTTGGGAGTTTCAGAGCTTCTCAGCACAAAGATCCTAGCTAAAAGTAGGGAAAAGTGAATGATGCCCCCAAAACAAACTAGACACCCAACCATAACAACAGCTGTGCTTTCCCTATTCAAAGGTAGAAAATGAGCAGCTGAGTTGTCTGATTTTTTTTTCAAATAGGAAATTTGGCCCCTAAAATTTGAGTAGACAGTCAAGGATTTCTTTCTCACCCCAGGTCCGGCCCAAGCTGGAAGTTACTTTCACTGGTTTAATCTAAAATGCAGTTGGAAATTAACACAATAACTGTTTGCTCTCCCCACTCTAATGGTTTTGAGTGAAGGTGAAGTGGATGGCTAAGAACAGGAGCGCTCCATCCTCACTGTTGTGAGGACACAGCCCTCGCCTCTCACAACACCGACACGGATCAAGAACATGAAATGACTGCTCCTGTGCCTCCGTTTACCTCACCAACACATTACACGGTGTCATTTACTGGGAACTCCATAGAGAAACTACATTTCTTTGGTCATATCTTTCTACTTTACCAAGTTGACATTTTCCCATGTTTATCTTTAAAAGCAGAAGTGGTGGGTCAGCCTGACATGCTTTCTAGACCATCATAACTTGACTTGGAGAATTGGTCTGAGCGGATAATACTAATGACAAAAAAAAGAAAGAAGCCCTGTCTACAAAATTGCCATAGCAGAAAAAGCAAGCCTCTTATATAAAAACCCTGACCAATGTGTTAGCTATGCCACATAATATTCAATAGCTCCCTCCACAACACAGGCGAACACACACACACACACACACACACACACACATCAAAAGCTGGCAAACAGATAGCATCTTGGAGTGCCCAGGAATGGGGTTTGACAAGAGGCAGGCACTTTGGGCAGACTCAATCAATGTTAATTGACAAGGAAGGGATCCAAAGGCAAATAGGAATCCTTGAACTCCATGTGGGTGGGGGTGGGGACCTCTGGCTGCAGACCTTCTCCTTTTCCCCTCACCCCCTTAGATTTAATTACTTGTTCCAGTTGGTGCACTGTAGTCTGACTTGCTGTCATTAGTTTTGGACTGATCCCACCTGTTAGTTGAGGATTTCCTATAAAAATGAAATGTCCCTTGACTGCAGAGACAGGAAGTCCTACTTTGCCAACCTGATCTCAGATGTACCTACCTACTCCTGCTTGTGGTGGGGGTGATGGTGGAGGTGTGTGTTTCTAGTTTCTATCTGTGCAACTGTGTGTGTGTCTGTGTGTGTGTACTTGTACACAGAGAGGAAACAGGAGGTACAAGATGAAAGAGGGATGATAACACCATGTGATAGAACAGATTAATATAGATGGGTTAATTTAAGTTAAAAGAACTAGTTAGGAACAAGCCTAAGCTGTAGTTTAAGCTTTCATAATTAATAAGAAGTCTCTATGTCATTATTTGGGAACTGACTGATGAGACAGAGAAAGACTTACCCCAGGGCCCTTCAACTCTCCACCATGGATTCGGCACATGAAGCCTCACCTTTCTCTGAGGGACAGATGGTAGTCAAGGGTCACTGCAGTAAGGGGTGTCAATTCTTCAGTGGGGTAGCTACTGAAATGCCAACCATATTCCTGTAAGTAACCACTCACCCACCTACAAGCAATCAACCCCAACTAAACTCAATGTCTCTCTCTCTCTCCTCTCCCCCACACAGAGAGAGAGAGAGAGAGAGAGAGAGAGAGAGAGAGAGAGAGAGAGAGAGAGAGAGAGAGAGAGAGAGAAAGAGGGGCAGACAGAGGCAGACAGACACACATACACACAGAGAGACAAAAAGAAACACACAAAGACACACATGAAGAGGAGAGAGGCTTGTTGGGAAGCAGAATGGTTCAACATAATGGGTGGGGTTGGGATAATAGGGGGTGAATGGCTAAAATTCATTATATACCTTTATGAAATTGTCAAAGAATGAATAAAAACAGTCGCTGAGCACACTGGGAAGAGCCCAAGCTTTGGAGTGGTGTATGCCTCTACTTCCCCAACTGTACCTCATAAGTCACACAGCTTGGCCTGGTTCCCTATCCACTTCATGCCTGTTTCTCCCACATGGAACAGGGGTACCTACTTCATGCTGCCATTACAGATATGAAATGACCCAATGCTCCTAAAACATTATGTCCAGTGAGTAACATTATATGTACACAATTATTAGCACAGTGGTTCTCAACCTTCCGAAGACTAGAACTCTTTAATACAGTTCCTCATGTGCTGACCCTCCACACCATAAAATTATTTTCATTGTTAATTCATAACTAATTTTGCTACTGTTATGAATCATAATGTAAATATTTTTGGAGATAGAGGTTTGCCAAAGGGGTCACGACCACAGGTTGAGGACCATTGTATTAGTTTATTGTCATAGTTAATAGCACAATTATGACAATTACAAGGTAGAAAGGGGAATTGGAGAGACAGCTCAACTGTTAAAGGCTAAGTCTCACAACCAACACTTCAAAAGTTCACTTCCCAGTGCCCATGGCAAAGCCTGTCCCTCCAACTCCCTTGTGACCACACCAATGTAGAAAGTAGAAAGTGTTTTTCTTGTCTTGTCTGTCTTCATGTGCTGGAACTGTGTCTGTAATGCTGAAGGCAATCAGGAAAAGCCTTTGCTGCACTGTAGACTGGGTAATCTTAGCCCTTGCCTTCACATTTTGGTTCTTCCAAAGTCTCAGGGGTGGTGATGGAGAGTGTCAGACATGCTCAAGCTTTATTCCTACAAATGTGCCAAATATCCTCCAAAGTAGCAATCTGTGGGGTGACATCCGCAAGGAGAAAGTAACTTCCTGGTCAGTATTTAGAAGGAGGCATTCACCTAGCATAATCATGGCATGTACCTGAATTGCAAACGGGGAAACTAGTACCCCAAATCTTTATGTACAAAGTCATTTTCTTAAATATATATATATATATTTACATATATATATACAGTGTGTGTGTATGCGCCTGTGTACAAATACATGCAAATATATGCACACATATCACTATATACATATGGAGGGAAGTGTCAGTCCACATCTTCTACCCTGTATGAGACAGACTCTCTTGTTCTCTACCGCATATACAAGACTAGCTGGCCCATGCTCTTCCAGGGACTCTCCTGTGATGACCTCCTATCTCAAGTTCTGGGACTATACATACACACTATCATACCCACTTTTAAGTGGGTTTGGGAGACCCGAACTCAGGTCCTTCTGCTTGTGTGCAAGTTGTTCCCTCGCCACCCATAGTAAGTCCTTTTTTATGAAGAAGATAGTGTCATCTCTGTGAGAGATGAAAGAGGTTGGACCACTTTCACATGAAGAGAAATTAAGATACCTGGCTATGTGACCAAGGTGGGAACTGCAGCATCTCAACTCCTGACATGTGGACCATAAATCTTCACTTTTCTTTTAATATCCTTAAGCAGACAGGACTATGCTGCTACTCTGAGGCCATCTAAGTGTGCTGAGTCACTCTGTTCTTCATTTACAATGAAATAATTACTTATTGGGTATGGCCACATCCCAAAGTGTTTGCCTGGAGCTCACTAAGTAGACTAGGCTGGCTGGCCAGTGAGCACTAAGGATCTGAGGCTTGTCTGCCTCCACAATGCTGGGACCACAAGGTACCATGTCCACTTTGGGGATTTTGGTTCCTTGTTTTGATGTGAGCTCTGAGCATCAAATTCGGGTCCTAGTGTTTGGATGGCAAGTACCTTATCAACTTAGGCATCTACCAAGCCCCTTAATGCCACTTCAGAAAGAGTGGTCTGGCTTGATATAGCTGAGATCCCTGGCAGACGAAGAAACCTCTTGTATGTCTCTACTGGACTTTCTGACAAAACACTATAGACACACTTGGGAAGGAATTCAACAAAGACTTTATTGCTGAGTCAACCAAGGTATTTTATTGTAAGGCAGACATAGTTACAGCACAGACACAGAAACAGCCCCCCTTGCAAACTCCACTGAAGAAGCCTGCCCTTTCTTTAGCTCTTCCAAGGTCCACAGAGGCCTGAATGACGCAGTTGGGAAGGTCCTACTTGACCTAAGAAAGTGACCGTGCAAAATCACCCAAAATTGCCCAAGAGATTCAAAGCCATTGAAAGCCACTTTTGATATTTAAAACATTGTCTACTGTTGCAGCTGCAGGATCAGAGAGAACCTAAATCTCAGACTGTGAGATGTATGTTTCTTTGTAGTTCAACATTCATGCCAAACAATTCTCACCAGCCCCTGGTGTAACACACGCTTGACTGTGTTTTAAGTATTGCTGGTGCCACAGTTAGAGAAGTCTTTGGTAGCTAAGCAACGTGGCTCCTGTATGCCATCATCTGAATCCAAACTTGAGAAAACAGAAAAGACGTGAATTTTTAACCTAAAGATAAGAATGACGCTAATCCAACCATATGGCCCCATTTACTACCTAGCCTGATACCTCAGATCAGGAACTCTCCAGGAACAGAGTATTATGTTTTCAGTGGCAGCAGAGGCCAATTAAGGGGAAACTATTTCCTTAAGACCAGAAAGTAACTTGGGTAGATACTCAACATCCTAGCTGGGCAGGTCAATCACCAGGCTACAGGACCATTCCTTGGGAAGGTAGGGACACCTTAACTCTTTAGAGGGATAAGAGGAATAATTAGCCCTTTAATGAGATAATAATGTGTTTTCCTCTCCAGAATCCCCCTCTCTATTGCAATCCCTCATAAAGCTGTAGCCCAGCAACTTGGGAAGAGTGCCTGCCTTTCTCAACTCCTCAGAAAACCGGACTCTTCTCTTCTCTCCATTTCATTCCTGAGCACTTCAGCCTTCACTCTTTCTTTAAAGCCCTACCCCCTCTGCCCTCCCACCCTGACCCATGTGGCTGCTTCTTTGCCATATGGCTGACCTTCATGTTGCCTTAACTTAAGCGGCAGGGCTGCATTGTCTCCTCCATCTTCTGCCTCTGGGCAGCTGCTGAGATTTAGTTTGCCTTCTCGTGTGTGTGCGTGCGTGCGTGCGTGCGTGCATGTGTGCGTGTGTGTGTGTGTGTGTGTGTGTGTGTGTGTGTTTAATGCAATAACAAATGCCCTTAAACTTCTTTGGTGTCGGTTTTTATATTATTTTTATTAATGGGTCTTAAGAGCTCCACAAGCTGACTCTGATTCCCCAGGTGGCATGCAGTGACTCTGGTAGGACTCTCCTAAGTCTTTAGTAACATGTCATAAACACAGATAATTTGAAGACAAAATTATACCTATTAAAGAGTTCCTGTTTACAATTCCCTGAGTCAAGAAAAGAGAAACACAGGGAGGGGAGGGACGGAGGGACGGAGGAAGGGAAGGAGGGAGGGACAATTGGATTCAGAACTGGCGTCCCAGGACTTCAGTCTGAAGTATTTCAGGTATAGTTTCATTCTGCGAGCTTCTTGATTCCATCCTATGATCAATGACACTTTCCTCGCCATGTTTCATTGACTTCCAGGAAACCTGAGAAGTGGTCCGTCAACTCTCTAGCCAAGTAGTGGGTCTACAGAAGGACACACAGGGAAATGTTCGTTAGGAATGGATGCAAACAGCATGGTCATTGAGGAGATAAGGGGCAGAGGGCAGAGGGCAGAGGAGATGGGTCCTCACCTCCTGGATTGCTTCTCTGGCCTCCTCTCCAGAAGGGGGTTTGTGCACTCAAACTGCCAGTGGTTTAGAATTTGGTGGATTCTTCAGTGATCACAATGGAGTCCATCACCTTGCAGGCCATACAATCTCTGTTGATAAGAACATAGAATAAATCTTTGGGCATCAGTGACCTGTGGAATCATGTTCTGTGTGGAATCGTACATAACAGACACACACAGAGGAGGGATGTGAGGACAAGAGAATAAAACTCAGAGAGGATACACTACCTGCCGCCTGTCCCTGGGATTCCCCTAGGCAGTTGTGTCCTGGACTGGAGACTTGAAGTGATTTCTAGGACCTCCCAGACGTCTCAAAGGTCTGAAGGGACAGGAGGCATCATTCCACTGCCATGTGGATACCTGAACTCAGAACTCAGCTCCTTCATAACCTTGGCCAGCCTTGCCCCAACTCTCCTGAGTGGATTCTGTCACTGAAATACTACACAATAGAGCAAAACGCAGTTGGAAATTAATAAGATGTTCTCCATGGGCCCCTTGTCCTGGGGTGGCCATCAGGGGAAGACTGGGAAGACGGGCTCAGGGGATATCAACCTCATGGGTTTCTCTTTAGCATATTCCACGGTGAAGTCACCTCACTATTTGGCTTTCCACGGAGCTTCCAAAGCCCTAAGCAGATCCCTTCTAGCCCGCAGTCCATTCCTTGACTCGATCTAATGCAGCTTGTGGCTCTAGGGACCACATAGAACATGGAAGACGTTTCTATCCCAGCTGGGTTTCCCACCTGAGACAGAGCACACCAAACTGGAGTGTGAGAGACACAAGAGACACATGGGTCTACTCATGACTCTCTTCTCCCTGCCTCAAGTCACGGAAAGCCCAGCATTACCATTCTGTCATTCACAGAGCCCATGTCCCCAGAACACCAGGTGGCTGGCAAAGGTAAACTACCCAGCTGAAATCGGAACACTACTGTAGCTGGAGTTCTTTCTGCCAGGTCCTGCTGCTGCTTCAGTCCCAAATAAACACACAGACACTATACTAATTATTAAACTGTTGGCCAATGGCTAGGGCTTCCTATTGGCTAGCTCTGTCTTAATTATTAACCCATTTCTATTGATCTAAGTATTTTCACGTGGTCTTGGCTTACAGGAGAATGCCCAGTATGTCCTATCCTCCCAGTCCCTCCATGGTGTCTTTCCTCTCTCTCTGCCTACCTTTCCCAGAATTCTCCTCATCTCCTAGTCCCACCTATCTTCCTGCCTCTACTGGCTATTGGCCAAACAGTGTTTTATTCATCAACCAGTAAGAGAAACATATACACAGAAGGGCATCACCCATCATGCTACCCAGAGATCAAAGCATCCATTGAAATTCGTCCACACAAAAGCAGCTTCCAATAGCATCCCAAACTGATAGGCTACTGCAGCACTCTCTGTGATGACAGAAATACCTGACACTGGGAATCCCTAGTCACCTTTAGCCATGGAGCTCCCAAAATGCTGCATTCCCGACGAAGGAATAGGTGTTGAGATTTGATTTGAGTTGAAGTAATCACACTGGTTTAGTGGCTATCATGTTGCAGGCTTATTATGTCACTCGGGTGATGGTTTCACTCTTGGAAATGACTTGATTTTCCCCAGACAGAAAGTCATGGTTGAAGATTTAGGCAAAGGATAGGGTGGAGTTCATAACCAAGCACATTGTTTCTCGCCCAGAACTCAGGGCCTCTGTGAACCTTCCTGCACAGCCACCTCGTTTCTGTTACAGAGACATGGAACTACCGTATCATGCAACACAGCATATGTGACTGGCTGCGTCTCACACACCTTGTATAATGCAAAGTGAAGCTGTATCACATGTAGATATAGAATACATAAATTCCTTGCTCTGTGTTTCATGAGCAAGCAGGAGAAAGAGGAAAAAGGAATTTTTCACACTGCGTTGAACTCTAAATGTATGTTATGGAGTGAACATGCAATCAAAGGCACCATCTTCTTTATTTTTAATCCCAATGACCCATCACAGTTTCAGTATACTCTTAAAAATGCTTATCTGTACACACGTGTATATATTCATGTGTGCATGTACACATATGAGTGGAGGCAGGCATGCACCTGTGTCCACATGCCCATGGAGGCCAGAAGAAAGTCCCATTCATCACCCTCAGGTGTACACTCTACCTCCAGGCCTGAAACTCACCAATAAGGCTAGGCTAGGCTGGCCCTGAATGAAGGTACCTTCCTCCCTTCCTCACTGGCTGAACAATCAGGAGGTCAGGCTAGCCCATCATCTGGGTCATATATTCTGTCTGCCATGACATTTGTTTGTGTCCTAACAGAGACCTTGCACAGATTCCACTCCAGGCCTTGTGTCCTATTTATTTTAAAGCTTAGCAGGGGTGACCCTGTCACACCTGCAGGTGACAGGCAAGCTGGCTTGTTTGTAATTTTCTACTCTAAAGGTTTAGTCAGGCTGGGTGGAAGGGATGCCTTGAAGAGGCTAGCAGGGCTCCAGCCTTTCCTGTTCAACTACAGTTGGTCCTCTGTTGACTAAAGGCAGTCTTGAAATCATGGACCATCGTTTGTCTGGTTGCTTTATTTTTAACTTCCTAGAGCTCTCCTGTCTGCTGCTTTTTCAAATGCTAGTAGTACAGACTCCTCCTCTTCGAGATCATCTTCCAACCTTTAACACTTTAATTCTTCTTCTGACTGCCCTCTCCGGGTCCTTACTGGTGCTGCTTCCTTCAGTGGTTCACCTGCCCCCTGCATCTCAGCAGCCGTTTGAAAGGCTCACTGGTTCCAACTCTGTGTCCGTGCCTCCCTTTCAGGGGCTGCCACCAGGCTGAACCAGCCTGGTTTATCTCTCCCTCCTTCTTCCATAAACAGCTATGTCACTGAGTATATGGAAACCCAAGTGAGTGTCACATGTTTGCTTTAGGTTTTCGCCCCCATTAGATCTCTCACATCCTTAGCATACCCTGACCCCTCTTCTCTGGATCTCAACTTTGAGCCTAAAATCTCCCATTGGGAGAAATAACAGCATATGTAAGTTCACTTTGTTTGTTTGTTGTTTTTGAGACAGTGGTCCAGGCTGACTCCAGATCCTCCCTCCTCAGCCTCTGGAATGTAAAGATACAGATGTACAACACCATATCCATCTTAGATCCAGTGCTCTGATTTAATAATGGGTAATTAATGCTTGAATTGTATCCTCAAGGAAATGCTTGGGCATATCATGCAGGGCAACTAACTAACTAACTAAACACATGAACCACAGCTATTGCCAAGGACTGACACTCATATGTTCTTGCGGGAGACATTTGCTGAAGCCTAGGACACAGGTCTTCTGTAGAGAGACATCGACAACTACGCGGTATCCAGTGATAAGGAGACTTTGACAGTCTTCGGTTTCCTCAGGTGCCAGCTCTCTAGAGATGGTAAATCTGACACATATGAGAAGAGATCATAACTCATACCTGTTAAGTGTACTGAACACTCCCACCTAACTCTGCCAACTCGTGAATCCATTTTGTACTCGCTGAACTTTTCCTCGGGATGGAGGAGAAGCTCGTAAAACTCAGAAAGCCAAAGAAACTTCCAAGGTTCAGGAAGTTCATAAAGTTACAAGATTCACAAAGCCCCTTTCCCTGGTTGCTCGAGAGAGGGGCCTCTGAAGTTGAGCGAGAACTTCAAAAAATGCAGCCCTCACTCATGCTGGGTAGGGTTGTCAACAGTGTAGTCACCTTCAGATTGTCCATGATCTTAGCTGTAACTCTTTACCTCTGTTCTTGTGAGTCGACTGCTAGAAGTCAACTTGGTTTGAGTCACTTATTTTTTTTTGTCCATAGTCACCAGGCATTTAATACCTCCCCAGGAAAAGTCACACAACCTGAAACATGTCTAGTGACCAACTGGAAGTCACCACATCCTGGATCTCCACAGCCCACTCTGTTCCTGCCTTCAGTTGGCTTCAGCTGATACCCTGGTCTGCCCTGCATTGCTTCATGAGTACCCTGGTCTGCCCTGCATTGCTTCATGAGTACCCTGATCTGCCCTGCATTGCTTCATGAGTTCCCTTCTGAAGACTCATATAGGGAAACCAACAGGTCTGTCATCTGCTATTGCTGTGGGTCGCCACAGACAGCCGTTTCCTCAAAGCGCAAATCTACTCCTATACTTTCCAAACCAGCATTCTCATCGATAGATAACAACAACAACAACAATAGATTCTGCTCCTTCTCACCCTGTCAAGACACATACCTAACTGCTAATGGTAACATCTCTTTGCTGAGAGTTTTTTCCTGGGACTATCTTCTCTGGGCATGGCAGACCAGGAATAGCCAAGTCTTTGATGAGAGGTCTAAAGTCAGGGATTCTAAGGCATAATTTTAATGCAAATATTTAAAAGTATTTCCCAGAATTGTCCCATAGGCTTGAAGTTTAGCTGTCCATAGTGTCTGTCTGTCTAGCCTTCTCTGTCTGTCTGTCTGTCTGTCTCTCTCTCTCTCTGTGTGTGTGTGTGTGTATCTGTACATCTTTTGGATGTGTGCATGTAGCAGGTACATATGTGTCCATGTGGAGGCCTGAGGTAAACATCACGTGTCTTTTTCAATCCCTCTTCATCTTGTGCTTTGAGGCGAGGCCTCTCACTGAACTTGCGGCTTGCTGACTGAGCTAAACCAGTTAGATCGCTGTAATTACGTCCTCAGTGCTGGGATTGCAGCAGCAGACAGCCATACCTATAGGATTTTCTCCCATGTGTCCTGGGGGTTGAATGGTTTTGTGCTTGCCCAGCATGTGCCTTTCTGACTGAACCTTCTCCTCAGCCTGACTACCTTCTTTCCCCTGTGCTCCTTCTGGCAGCTCTTAAGCTGCTGAAATACAGTTCTTGCTCTCAAATCCTTGTCTCAGAGGCATCTCTGGGGGAAGAAACCCGCTACAGTAGAAAGCCATGCTTGTATAATTGTCATCCTCATCATTTCAAAACCCTTGATGTAGATACATTTGTACACATAAATGGGTCCTTCCAAGCCATGGTAATTGGGTTTTAAATATGACCTAAATCCATCTGGTCATAAGGTTTTAGTGTGTTTTTCGCATTTTTTTTAATTTGTTGGTTCTGTCTCTCTCCTGAAGGTCATAAGCTGTCCAGAGCCAGGAGTGTGTCACCTCTTCCCACAATGTCTAGTGTGACACTCAGAAGACTGGATTTTTACTGAGTCTTTATCTACAGACAGGAAGCCACAGAGGCCAGGCTGTTGACCTCATAGGCTTGTCATGGGTGATGCAGCTCTGAAGAGAAGGACACTGTGGTGCTGGTTTTTAATGCTGTGGCGTATAAAATATTCTGGAAGCCGGGAACCAAAGTTGACTTTGAGGCAGCGCCAAGATAGGATATGAGAAACTGCGGCACACACTAAGTCCTGCAGGTCACATACAAGATACTGTGTTAGCATGTGCTTTTCATTAGCTGGCTTCTGAGGGACATCCCTCCAAAGGCTAACTGAAATGAGCCCCTTATTTCTCCTTCCTTCCTTCTTTTCTTTCATAGGACTTCACAGCCTAGCCTGGCCTTAGACTATGTAGCTGAAGATAACCTTGAACTCCTAATCATCCTATCTCTACATCCAGTGTGTTGAGATTAAGGCATGGACGACTGTTGTGGGAATGGATGGCTAGCAAACACCTGAGCTATTTGAGGTAGGGTTTTTCTCCAGCGGAAACCCACCCCTGGGAGATCTGGAGCTCTTTTATGAGATCCCTGGTTGTATGCTGCAGGGAAGGACAAATTGGGTTTATTAAGAACCTGAAGGCGCGCCGGGCAGTGGTGGTGTACACCTTTAATCCCAGCACTCGGGAGGCAGAGGCAGGCGGATCTCTGTGAGTTTGAGGCCAGGCTGGACCGACAGCCTCCAAAACAATACAGAGAAACCCTGTCTCGTAAAACCAAAAAAAAAAAAAAAAAAAAAGAACCTGAAGGTGTTTCCATCACAGGAAGAGGCACTAACAAGTCCGGCCTCAAGCAGGTACAGCAGGAGCCCTGTC